AAGAGCGGCTCGGCCGCGGCCAATCGCGAAAGCCTTGGCCGTCCGGCCCTCAGCTCACCCGCTCTATCTGATGCTGGGCCCGGCTTCGCGAGTGCCTCAAAGGCCCGCCTCTCGAGCCAGAGCAAGTCGCTCTCCGCCGCCGGCGGCAAGAAGTCGCTGCTCTCTTCCTGGGCCGGCAAGAAAAGAAAGGAGCTGCCCGAGGCCTGGAGAGCCTCGCGGGGCGGCTCGCAGGTCTCGACGCCCGGTTCCACGACGGTTCCGTCCAGCCCCGCATCGGACGATCGCCACGCCTTTCCGTTCCCGCGCGTGGAAGCCTCGGTGGCGATGGCGGCAGCCGAGAACGCCAAGGCCCCCAGAGCGACGATGGCGCCGCCGCCGCCGCCGAGGGAGCCCAGCCCACCTCCAACACGGACAATGACTACCCAGCAGATCCTCGAGCAGGCGCGGAACAATGTCTGGCCAGAGAGGTACGGCGCAAGGGCAATGGCGATGCGAGAGCCGTTGCTCCGAGATCAGATCTCGGTGCCGGTGCTGCAGGATGACCAGGATGCTTACCGAGCCGCGCTACAGCCGCACAGGGCCGCGCCGAGTGCACAGGCGGCGGCGGCAGCAGCAGCGGCGGCTTCCTCCTCGTCGACATCGGCCAGGGACATTCTCAGCGAAATCAGCGAACTGGATCGCGGCAGGCCCTCAATCAGCTCGGTGCAAAAGAGCCTGCCTCCATTGCCATCGCAAGAGGCGCAGGGGGCCGATGCTGCGGATCCCCGAAGCAGCCTGTCGTCCCGCACCTCCTCGCATCGCCTGCAGAGCATGGCCAGTTCCCTACTGCCGCCGAGGAACCTGCGGCACGCCCGACAGGCTTCTTCGATGTCGTTCGGTGCCGGCCAGCAGCAGCGAGCGCCGGGAGACGGAAACAAGGTTGCCGTAGCCACACGGCCCAGGCAGATGTCGATTGCCACTGCCTGCGAAGCAGATGTCGAGAAAGGGAGCGCTGGCTCGGCCAGTCCTGCTAGTTCGGCGGACGCCACGCCGCGCAATCGTCCTGGTGACCTTCCAGAGACACAGCTGCCCAATCCGGCCGTCGACGGTCCTGGCAGCGACAGCGCGAGTGCCCGACCGAATTGCCCGAAGGCGGATGTCGAGACGCAGACCGGCAATGCCGCGGGGTTCTCCGGAGTCGGCGAGGATCAGCACGCGCCCGCTGGCAAGACGACGATCGGAAGGCGCAAGGCCAAAGCAAGAAAGGTCCGAGCGATCGGGCTTTCTCGCGACGACTGGCCACACCGCACTTCGATGACCGATTATGGTCGCGCCTGGCTTCGGGAGCAAGGTTCGCGCGCCTTTGATGCGCTGGACGCCGAGAGAATCGCCTTCGTGCAAACGCTGAGCGCGTCCGGTGCTGGGCGGTCGAGGAGCCGTGTCAAGATCTCGGAAAGCCGACGAGAGGCTTCGACTGGGTCTGACGGCGGAAGCGGCAGCGAAGACACCGACGACTACGGCTCGAGCGACGGAGGAGGCGGCGGAGGCGTCGGCGGAGGGGCGGGAGGTGGTCATCCTGGCGATGATGGAGACGACGACGACAGCGATGACGACGAGCGATCGGACGATGACGATGACGACGAGGACGACGATGATGACGACGAGGACGAGGACGACGACATCAGCACCGAGGAAGAGTCGGAAGACGACTATGGCAATGCCGAGGACGAGGACCGTGCCGCGAGACGCGCAAATGGCACAAGCGGGCCGCTGGCGGACAGTTCAACGGCGGCCGGCAACGACAGCGATTCGTCCGATGACCGTCCCCTCGGCGAACTGGTCCAGGACCCCCAAGCGCTTCAGCGTGCCCTTCGGGAACAGGAGCGCCGCAAGCACATCGAGAGCAGCCGTACCGCGCTCGAGAACGGACCCGCGCGCGCCACTTCGCAGCGGACGCTCAAGAAGATGGCCGCCAAGGCTGCGCGGCAGAAGGCCATGATGCAACTGCAAGAAGCCCAGCCCAACGGTGGAGAGTCGTCGGAGGCCTCGATGGACCTCGCCGATCTGACGAGGCGCCTGATGCGAGTGCAGAGCCGGCGCGCAGCAGCGCCCTCGCATCCCGCGATCCCAGATCCGGCCGCCGCTGCCGGGTTTGCACCCACATTGACCTCGAGCACAGATTCGGATCGACCGTTGGGCACCGGCGCCCTGTCGAGGGCGCGCTCGATGAACCGTCCTCAGGCCGATGACGCCGGCGTGCTTCGAGGCAAGAGCCTACGGACCCGGCCTTCTGAATCGGGCATGCAGGCAAAGAGCCGGGGCCCCTCTGGAGGTCCTGTCATGCCCGGCCCGGCTCCAAACCTGCCCAACAACGCCGCAGCTACGGTGGCGGCCGCCCAGAAGGCGTTGACAGCCGCCCAGGCGAATCCGACGGCGGCGAACCGCGCGCATGCCAAGGCGATGGCTGCGGCTGCGACGGCTGCGATGGAGGTCCTGACGCGTCCGAAGCGATCGGCGACCCTGGCCGGCGCATCTGCGCCGTACGATGCCAGCGCTGTGCCCGCCCTTGCCGTTGCAGCTCCGCCGAACGCCGGTGCGAACCTCGTCAGGCATCGCACAGAGGTCCGTCCCGCCGGTCGCGGCGACCCTCGCCGGCCCTCGCACCCTGCCACGTCGATGCCGCCCTTTGTCGCCCCTGGTGCAGAGGCCCTCGCCGCTGCGGCTGCAGAGGGTGGCATGTCGCCGGAGGGCGTCTCCCCTGCCCTCGTCGGCAATCGGCCGAGGGCGGCGTCGCGGGCACGAGCACATCTACCCAGCGTTAACACGGCTGTCGCTCCTCCGGTTCCCGAACTCAACCGCCTGGTCTCTCCGATGCTCAGGTCGCCGGGCCTGTCGTCTCCGCTCACGCCCAGTTCGGCCACTTTTGCCTCTCAGCAGCAGCACTTCGGGCAGCGCGCCGCCGACTCGACCGACAACGAAGCCTTGCGAGACGGCTTCCACGCAGCGGCAGCGGCCGCAGTGTCGCCGAGCGCCGACGAGTCGGGCGGGCGTCCCTCGTTTTCGGGAGTCATTCCGCCGCGCATGTCGTCGTCGTCGCCGGCAAGCTCGCCCGTGGCTCCGCCGGTCAGCCTGAGCAACGAGCCGAGCGTCGTCGCCTCGCACCGAGCGCGGTACAAGGTGTACATCATGAACAAGCAGCGCTTCACCATGGCCGAGATTGCACCGACGGCGCGGGCGAGGGAGCTGGTGCTCGACGTTATCGAGCGGGAGCAGGTGGCGCTCGACGAGAGCAAGGGCGGCTGGGTCGTGTTTGACTGCTCGCCCGACTATGGCATCGAGCGCCCGCTGCGCGAGTACGAGATCATCCACGAGGTGGCCGACACGCGCGCCAACGTCGACACCGACCACTTCCTCCTCAAGCGGACCGAGCTGTCGCCGTACCTGTCGATCCGCGCGGTGCCCACCAGCTCGCCCGCGCTGGCCGGCTACGTCTATGTGCAGGACAAGAAGAAGAAGTGGAGCAAGCGGTGGCTAGAGCTGCGCGACCACGCCCTGTACCACGCCAAGTCGGAAAAGGGCAAGGACGAGGCCATCATCTGCCAGATGTCCAACTTTGACGTCTACCTCGTCGACCCGATCAAGGTCAAGGCGCCCAAGGCGCACGCCTTCGCGCTGCGGTCGCAGGACAAGATCACCATGTTTGAGAAGCCGGACCAGGACTACGTGCATTACTTTGCCCTTTCCGACCCGGCGGCCCACCGCGACTGGGTGCGGGCCATCATGAACGCGCGCACCTACATCCTGCGTCAGGAGCGGGCCGTGCTGTTCAAGCCTCCTCCTATCGCCTCAGCCCTCGAGGG